AGGAGAGCATTTTTTTCTACGAATAATTTGACACTAAACTGAATCCAAATTCAAGATGAGATGTAAATAATAACAGTTAGCGCGTGATCTCTCGGTAACAGCTGGGGACAACGCCTCTTATTGGTCAATTCGCCATTAAATTTCAAGCGGTCGCCTGGCGGAATAATGCGCGGGGCAGGGGCAGGGCAGGCAGAGTTGCATTCAGGCCACCGACCATCGCGTGTATCACTGCGTGCTCGTGTTTTCGTATTCACCTTGCTTAGCGTAGCCCTGAATGCGGCCCTGTATGCCGTCCTTGCTTTTGGCAATCACGCATCCATTCTATCTTGGGTGTAAATACATATACACACTCTTATTTTATTTTCACTATTTTTCTGAATAATTGTAAGACACGATCGTACCTAACAACAAATAATACGTATCTGCATTTGCAACAAACAGTTGAAGGTGTTGTTTTCGAAATACAAAATGTGCAACGAACCAGAAGAAAATGCGAATAACATTATCGTTAATGAAGAAAAATAAATATACGTGTTGGCTTATGTTGGAGTAAATTATACAAATGAATGAAATACATATCATATTATTATTATAACAAAAAATAGTTCAAAAATGTGCCGTGTTTAAAATGCCCTCTTTGATCATCGCAAACTTCAACTTCAAGGTCATAGCGAGTAAATATGCCACAGAATGTAGATTCGTCTATAATATCCAACCACCAAATTACGTTCTTCTATCTTCAATAATAAGAAGGATGACAATAAAAAACTGTTATTATATTTGAATAACAAAATTAAAAAATCAGTCTCATCACTTGATTTACAGCGCTCGTAAGCACATTTTCAAAAGGTCAACGGACAACAGGCGCCCACAGATACCATGTAAGTGGAGCAACTGATATTTCCCTTACTCAAATGTCAACTTCGGCAAATGAAGACGTCTAATTTTAAACTGTTCGTTAATCCTACGAACATTAATACCGCGTTTGGTCCCATCAGCATCATAACTTCTTTGTACCGAAAAAGTTGAACAGATGCTGTAAAGCTAATCCTCCACTTCAGCGGCGTCTGCTGGTGCTGTTATTTCTGTAGTAGCTGCTTTGAATAATTAGGAGACGTGCGAGGATTACTCCGAGGAAAATTAATCGGGAAGAGGGAGTAATTTTAGTGCCGTTATGGGTTGTCTCCTTTGAAGATATACGTGTGTGTCTTACGGTTATGAGAGACGAATAGACGGCTTTTTTGTTTGATGCATCTGAGAGTTATATGGGGTATTCATCACGCGGACAGAACAGCGACAAGCGTTTTGTACCTGTTTTGTGAGTTATTTGGTTTAGAATTTATGACTATAGAGAAATATGTTACAAGAGTTTTGGGAAAAATGTCGTCCAGTATTATTATGTTCAGCACAAGTTAAGCTCTATCGGAATAGACCTTATATCCTTGATAGAAGATGGTTGCTATACTTTCAATCATTGCCCCAGAGACCCAAGCCTAGACCACGCTGACGAGTTACAAAAAAAGCACGAAACAGTTGTCTGTGGTAGAACGGACGAAAGCACCTTCTTGAATCTGTTGAAACTAAACGGATCAAGTCTGCCAAACAGGTCCATACAATAGTTTCATAATATTCTTTACCTGCCCTACGCGTAGTGCCGTCCATTTGGCAATGCCGCGTCGCCGCTCCTTAATATCTGAAAGCATGATGCGTCAAACGCAGCAGAGCAACAGTCATGCGGGACAAATACGAACTCCGGCAGGTATTTTGTATCTGATACACTATTAATTTTAATTATTAACGAAAAAAGAGATAGATGTTGAGAATAGGAAGAAAATGTTATTGTAATAAATGCTCACTTTTCTGTCGACTTACGTTCTTTCAGCAAGAAACAGAGTTAGTGGTATATAACTTGAGCGGAAGAGTCATTTAAATCATATTTTTCAAGCTTATTACTGAAAATTGACTGATTAACATACCACATGTTTTAATTTTACAAACACACAAAATTCCCGTTTTACATCCAAGCCATGACTCGTTTTATTTATTTATTTATTTATTTATTTATTTATTTATTTATTTATTTATTTATTTATTTATTTATTTATTTATTTATTTATTTATTTATTTATTTATTTATTTATTTATTTATTTATTTATTTATTTATTTATTTATTTATTTATTTCCAACGGGTGAAACCCAATTACAGGAATCGCTGAAAAAAATAACAATTAAAGAGACATGGTTCTTGGACTTAAATCTATAGTATCACACATTCTAAATAAGATTTGATGATCTATAGCAGTTAATAATCGATGCACAACTGTCACTGTAAATATCACACGATTCAGTAACTCTGTTCATGACGCAGCACATGAGATTAATTGGAGATTTTGTCATAACATTTGTACGGCCAGCTTGACAATAGAATGCCGTTTGTTGAGGACTCCCTAGCCTTGGAACGGAAACATATTTTTTCAAGTAAATTGTGACAGTCAATTTTATTGTGAATGAGGCCATACAAAAACGACAAAGCAAATATGTTTCGTCTTGTTGACAGTGAATCCAAATTGAAAAACTCTAATAGGGCACTATGGTCACAACCTCTTTCTGGATAAGAACCTGTGCATTTAAGGTGAAAATACTTTAAAGCTTTACGTTGAATGGCCTCAGGGATCACGACAGAATTTTGGTATATAGGAGACCAGATCAGAGTCGCATACTCCAATTTGCTCCTGACAAAAGTAAAAAATAAAGTCATTAATGTATCAACATTGGAGAAACCCTTCCAGTTTCTGATACAGAAACCAAGTAGTCGAGTGGCAGCCGACGAGATATTGAGTATATGCTCAGTAAACGTTAGCTTGGTATCAAAAATGACTCCAAGGTCTCTATAAGAGGTGCATCTGTCTATAACGTGACCATTGATGTTATAATTATCATAAATTAAATAGTTAACTTTTCTTGTATAAGTCATAACTTTACATTTCGAAACATTCAGACTGAGACAGTTTCGTGAACACCATGACGAAATTAGAGCTAAGTCATCTTGCAACATGACGCAATCCTCGACTGTCTTGACTGACGCGCAGATTTTAAGGTCATCAGCGAAAAAAAAAAAATGGAAACACTTCAGTTCAAAAGACAAGTCATTAATAAATATTAAAAACAATAATGGACCTAGATTTGACCCTTGAGGTACCCCAGACGTGGCCCGATAGTAACTCGACCTATGACCACCATATTCGACAAATAACCTTCTATCCCTCAAATATGAATTCATTAGCGACAGCATTGCATCAGACATACCCACTGTTTTAAGCTTATCCAGAAGTGCATAATGATCAACTTGAACAAACGCCTTCTGAATATCTGTGTAGATGACATCAACTTGTCCCTGACCGTCCAGTACTTCAGAAATGTACTGAGTAATTAGAGCCAAGTTGGTGACCGTAGATCTGCCTCTCATAAACCCATGCTGATTAATAGAGACTGCACCCCTGACCGAGCAGTAAACCGTTTCATAAGCGATGATCTCAAACAACTTGCTGAAATTGCACAGGATTGCTATTTGGCGATAGTTGGAAATATCAGAGATATCTCCACTTTTGTGAATAGGACATATTTTAGAGGTCTTCCAGATATTTGGATATGTCTCTGATTTTAGAATTAGGTTGAATATGGAAGCCAGCGGTTTCGCTAGTATATGAATGCATTCTTTAACAAAAAAACTTGGAATACCATCACATCCAGACGTCATTTTGTTCTTTAATCTTTTCGAAGCCCTAATTACGTTTTCTTCACTTATATTTTTTAAAGAAATGATATCGGTAGAATTATTTGTTAGAGGAGATGACCCTAGTAGACCAGACGGGATTGTTTAGGATGTATGATTATAAGGTAAAATGCTTCGAGAGCTATTTTCCACTTGTCACTGACAACTGAGTAAAACATGCTCATTTATTTTTGTCCTTTTGTCCTTTTGTCCCTACGCAAATAGACGTCACAGTCTTCCAGACGTATCAATTTTTGACTTCTAACATTCCAATTTCCAGGTTGGGTGACATATCTTTTCCAGCACAAGGGCCAGTGTTGCCAATTACATTGAAAATGCGGTAACATACTATATAACAATATAGTAGATGTCAACGTAGAAGTAGATGTCATTTACACCGGTTTCAGTAAAGCGTTTGGCAAACTTGATTACAATATCTTATTAAGGAAATTGGACAATGCTGGTATCTTCTAGTTTAAACTGTCACTCTTAAGATCATATTTGTCAGACATGAGGCAATATATTGAGTACGAAGGTAGCAAATCCAAGGATATATTTCCAACTTCCGATGTGCTTCAAAGCTCATGCCTAGGCACTCGGCTTTTCATTATTTTTATTAATGACATTGTAACTGATATCGATTGTTACCATTTGATTTGTGCAAATGTCGTGTTATATTCATACACAAGAAAGATGGTTTCCATTGAATTCAATTTTCAAGTCGATAAGGTTCAATCCTCATATAGAGCAAACTTTTCTTCATTCATATTGTTTAACTCGAAACGCGAGTACCTTTTACCTTCCCACCCCACGAACTAAGTTATTATTGCACCCACCCATGTACTCAATATGTTCATGTTATAATAATCTTCAGGACTATTTTGATATACTCAATGCTAAATTATCATACATCAAGCAAATATGTAAAAATGTGGCTTAGTTAGTGTGTTACTTGGTTTGTTATATTTCTGTATTCCCACCAGTAATTGGTATATCTGTTGGTGGTGCATAAATAAATATATAAATATCTTCTTTTCTAATTTTATTTGATATAACCTAATTGTTATATTATCAGATAGAGCCTTATCGTTAAAACACATGTCAATAACTTCGTGCTTAAACCTGCTACCTACTATTTCACTTAATCTTTTGACCGAATCATAGCATAAATAAGACTGAATCGTCAGACATGAGATTAACCTACTGAACGTAAAACTTAGACAATGCCTGCAGTCCAAAGCCAAGTTTGGTTGACTGTTGATCCTGGCACCTTGGCGCTACTGTGAAATACGCCGACCACAAAGCCTCCCTAAAGCACCAGATAAACAAAGATTATTTTTGATTCCTTGTGACAATTTATCGGTCGAACAGATGCTGGTGAAATAAATTCTCAGCACAACGACAGCCTTTTGGTATTTATAAACAACTTGTACTGAACGTTTTTTAACGTCTTAATATTTTGTTTTATTGTTAGACAGTGGACGTAATGCCATCATCTGGATTACTTGGTGGCCTATTAATGCTCCTGAAATTGTTGAAGTGAATGTGCTATGCCAATAAATTGGAATTATCGTTGGATTCTTTCATTCATGTTTATTGGGGCTGGAGTAGTGGAATTTTTTAATAATACTTTTTGGTACATTATGTAATAGCCCAGTGAAGCAAGGTTATATACCCAGGAGAGAAGAGAGATGTAGAACCTGAAATCCGTTTCTTGAGAATCTGATATACTTTTTTATGAAATCTACGAAAGGCTCCGATGGTCCAAGGTACTTTGGCGTTGTTTGATGATCATAATCGAACTTATCGTTCAAAAATTACCCCATTGTACCGAGTCATTTTCTCTTTAGTGGCGAAAATAGAAATTTCACTGTGTAAAATCTATAAGTTCTAGGCGCGGATCTAGGGGGGGGGAATGATTCAATTGCCCCCCAAACCCTCAGACTTGCAGGAAGAAAATGAGGAAAGGGGAATGAAGGAGAGACCAAATTTTTTGTTTGAAAACCTAACTGAAAATAAATATGCATGCTGCTCTTACTCTGCTGTTTATTATTTCCCTTCTTAATTACTTTATAATAAGTGCAAGCGACTGGACGATACCCCCTGAAAGTAGGCAACCTACATTACTTCGATCCTGGATCCGCGCCTGCCAAGTTTACTAATCAAGGAAATTCAAAGATTCTTAAGCATAAAACTTACGTAACTGCAAAATGAAGGAGATGGCAATTGTCACACGCAATCTGACACTCGTGATAACCCTCATAGTTTATGGCGGGTATAAGAAACCTCTTTAATCCATCTGTTTGATAGATAAAACGTATTGTAGCGCCCTCGTACACTAGAACCTTGGAGTTCCGATAAGATGCCCTCGCAATATCGACGCCTAGACAACCAATTACGCAGCCAGAATACGTGAGCGTTCGACAACCATCGGGAAACATATACCAACATCCAGAAACATCAAGCTTCTATAAAGGCCCGTGTGCTGTCTGGATGGCTCTGGATCGGTCAATTCGAAATTAATAGGCGTTACTAGGGCAAAATTTTCAGTCACATTAGTAAGATAGTTAGAGATTTTACGAGTTGAAAGGGTTGTTATAAATTAGTGTGAAAGTAATAAATTAGACTTTAAACAGCAAAATATATCGCCAGTTTTTTGGCTGAGAAATTCCTGGATACTATGATTACTTAAAAATTGAAAAATGACTTATATTAAACAGAATAGTAATACTATAACACCCTGTAAAATACGACAGGTCACAGTCCAGTTATGTGTTGTCAAACAGTAGATGTAATCGGTACATACGAGGGACGTGTTTTAAGTTTTGCATATGGAAATAAAACAACAAGGTAGGTAGTTTTAAATGACTTTATTGTTTTTCGAAGTATTCTCCACGAAGATTAATACACATCTATCTGCATGCGCTCGAACCAATTTTCGAAGCACTTATTCTACTCGTTTGCTGGGTCATCCAAAACGACATTTTTGAATGCGTCAACTGCTTCTTCTGGTGACTGGAACCTTTGACCACGCAGTCTGTTTTTAATTTTCGGGAAAGTAAAGAAATCGTTAGGACTTAGATCGGGACTATATGGAGGATGGTCCAATAATTCCACGTTTTCTTCCTTTAAATACTGCCTTGTTTTTTGGGCTCGGTCAAGCGTTGTTTGACACCAATTAACCCTAGCTGCCTTCTGCTCTTCAGTCAACAGGTGGGGAATCCAACGAGAAACTAATTTTCTTACTCCTAATTCTTCATGTAAAATTTTTGAATTGGGGTCTTTGAGTTTGCGCACAGCATCGACGTTTTCCTGAGTGACTGCCGTTTTTGGTGCACCCACCCTGGGATCGTCGCTACCACTCACCCGTTCACGTTTGAATTCTCCGTACCAACGGAAAATTGTCGACTGATGTGGCGCTTCGTTGCCGAAAACAGACAGTAACTCAGCAAGGCATTCTTGTTGCGATAATTGTCTCTGAAAGTTGTAATAAATTATGGCGCGAAAATGTTCTCGGTTGAGTTCCATTTTTCTAATGACTTGGTGATACTTAAAAATTCACTGTAGTGAGAACACTGCACGTATTGTTGTGAAACTTTGAATTTAAGTTTAGTAAGGAGTGAGGTTAAGATTCAGTACTGACGTTCGATGCGCGCGGCTTACTATGTTTCTATATGCAAAACTTAAAAGACATCCCTCGTATTTCCACTCTTATGTCTATGATCATATCGTTGTGGTTAAAAAGTGCTTTTTTGTGTCAGTCGGACGATTTCTTTATTAATTTCACCGATGATACTTTCAAAAGGTGTTCATTGAAGTTATATTTCTGTAAAGGAAACAACTTTAAGTACAATGAGGTTGAGCTAACTAGAGCATCACTCAATTTTGTTGGTTACCTTACCACTGTTATAAAAAAGTGAATATATTTACTAACGACTCGTACCATTATGATCTCGGACCCGGTAAGAGATACAAAGTCAGTTAAGTGGGGCACCTTTAGGTAATTACGAAAATGGTACTTGGCAATTTAGTAATTCCGAGTATTTCTCGAGAAAGACGAATGAAACGGAATTTTTCCAAAATCGTTTCTATTTTAATTTTATTCCACTAATCACAGCCTCGCCAACAATTTTTTAGCAGGTGTAAGGTGTTTGACTTAATCCAACATCTGCGTCAGAGGTGGCGCTACCGGAGGCTGTGCTTAGCTTCTATGGCCTAAGCTTTACGTTCTACGAGATCTGTAAATTAAGTAGTGAGACTGATTTTTTAATGTATTTATTCAAATATATTTGTATATATTGTCATCCTTAAAATAACTTCCTTCTAAAGTGACTCAGCGCTGGATACGTTTCTTCCATCCATACGAATAATATTTTATATAATTTTATAATTAAAAAGAGAAGGGATGAAACCTCCACAAGTGAAGATATTTTTTAAAAATTAATTTAATTTCTTGAAATTTTCCTAATAAAGTTATTTTAATAATGATTATTTTAACAGTATTGGGACTCCTATCCTGGAATAGCCTTCAGCTGGTCAGTTACAGCCATTTGATTGCTGTCGACTGTCCCAAAATGAGTTCCCATGAGGTGATTTTTCAAATTCGGGAAGAGAAAAAAGTCTCAAGGACTCAAGTCAGGCGAATAAGTAGGCTGAGGGGACACAGAAATGTTATTGTAGCATAAGGGCGAATTTCACCCACATTAATATTTGACGGTTATTTGGACCAATAGGAAAAGACCTTATCGAAATGCAATTTGACAGAAGCTGTCAAAGCTCTCTGAATATCAGTTATTTCTATTTAAATGTTGACTAAAGTCGTGAAAAAACGGTTGCGTTATAAATAAGGGTACATTATAGATGTAATATTATGTCTTTGTGCTTTAGATTAGGATAACTTTCATAGAATTTCATATTTCATTCATTTCACAAAAGATGGTCAGTTATTTAAATCGACCAATGAAAACGAGAGAAATAATAGGTCGATTTTCTAGCTATTATATTTTGACGACTGTTCATGCATGGCAGTCTAGTTTTGTCTGAATATCACGTACAGGGTGTTGTACATAATACGTACCTGTAGAAATGTACCCATTTTTGTTATTTTGCAAAAAAGGATATAAAACGTATTCCAACTGGTTCATTATCTTTTGTTATATCAAAAACAATTTTTGCCAATTTATGATCTAGAAATCCACACCAAATGTAAAGAAACAGCACATTCTGCATTTCTGGGTCCTAAAACATCGATATTTGGAAAAGTATCCGCATCCACCTATTATTATTCATCGTCTAGATATTACAAGTCAGAATCAAAAATACCTATTTATGAAAATATATCTCCAAATACTTATTGTTATCGTGATGTAACACCCAGTTGATGTGATGGAGGGTGGTGTGAGTCACATTTAACTCGTCAACCGACGATGTGAACGCCACAAGATCCCATATTCTGTTGACGTTTTTATCGGTTCTTGAAGATGAAGGCCTTCCGCTTCGCTACGTTGTCAGTCTCATCATTTAATTTACAGATCTCGTAGTAATTCAGACAAATGACGGCCATTGTATTTTATGATTTTTATGACTATATTCGAAATCAAAGTCTTATACTACACTTGTGCACCCATCTGGAAGGTTAGTCTATTATGAGATACAAAATCTAATGTATTATTGTTTACATTTAGGCAGTTTTATACATTTGGTTAGCTGGTTTAGTGCTAGGTGGCAGTCCATTCATCCAGAATTGCTGTTTACCCTCTCTATGATGCTCAATAGAAATAGAAATATTTAATTGAAAAATAAACATATCATTACCTTTCCTATCTCGATTCCTGCTCCTGACAGTGGCGGGAAAAGGCAGCTGGGGGTGGTCCAGAGAAGTGGTGGCTGAAGGAGTAGACATACCTGAGGAAGTGTGGTGACTGGTAGCGTCCCGAAAATCGCCAGTCTCTGCCCATACTGCAACAGAATACAATCAGTTGCCCAACGTATTTCACTTCCAATTCATTGGGCGAGGCTACTTGTGCTGTACCGAGTGGCGTAGCGTGGGTTCCCCCACTCGCGGTCGACCGCAAAGTTGCCGCCCCCTCTATTTTAATTATCAGTTTGGAAAATTAGTAAAAGTCAAATGAAGCATATTTAAATTCTTTGATTGACTAAAGATGAAGCTTTTGTGTTTTTTATAGCAAAATCTTTTATACAATCATCCAAATCTACACATGTGCGAGTATGTCATGTTCAATTGCCAAAACACCTAAATTTGACAGCCTCAACGCGGACATAGTCAATCTGAGATGGTTCTCAATTAACTTACGCTTGAAGATGCTTTTCTCTCAACTGGCAAATCTAAACATTATGTCAACGTTTTAAGCTTGGACTCAACAATGTATTTTAATAAGCCCAGAGAGCTGGACTTAAGAGCTCTTTTTTACAGTCTGGTTATATTGTAGCTACGAAAGCTAGTCTCGCTAGCTATTGTCTCATGGTGCTTAATCTAAGTTCGCCTATACTAAGTATCACTTCAAGCAGCAAAGACGGCTGTTTTCAAACTTTGTTGCACCAGCAGCCCTCACTGGTCCATCGACATGTGTTCAACGACTTATTTTTGATTTTATGAATAAATCTAATAATAAATAAAGTGGTATATATTTTTTAGTAGTCGGTGCATTCGCCTTACTTCCCACGACACTCGTGGAATATGGTTGTTTAAATGTTGCATACATATGTAACATGAACATCCAGCTGATTTTCGTAGGTGTGTCTGTTTCTATAACTCAACAAGTACCGGTCAGAGATTTGTCACAAGATTATTACTATATCACTAGCTTTGTATAAGTATAGTCAAAAAACGATAAAAATTACGAATAAGTTTCGTTTTTTGACCATTCAGAAATTTTTCAAAAATTATTATCGAGAATTGGTAATTGAAGATTGTATGGGGACTATGGGGTGGGACTGTAAATACGATATCAGTAAAATGTTATTAAGAAGCTTTTGATGCCGGAAATACTATGCATCTGCTAGACACAAAAGTCTCACATATCTTCGATGAACACTGAAACAGAAATATGATTTATTTTCTATAATATTCTATTGTTTGAGAGTTTTACATTCTATCATACTTAACGTCGCATGCCCCTTTTTTCAACAGCCTGTCATGAGGACTATTCTTAATACTTTTCATCTGATTGTTTCATGGTGTGTAATATAGATCAATGAAAAACAATGTTCCTTTTTTTTGTAAAAAAATGCATTTGTTGTGCGTTCGAAGAGAAAAATTGATAAGCGAAAAAAGCGAAAAAAGGTACTTCCGACTTCAACAGAGCATATCTATAGTCTGGTATCAATATATTTTGAACATATTTTCGAAAATTAAACTTTAGAATTGAAAGCAAAACAAAATCAATTTCCTTGTCTATCGGAAATTTCCAAAAACATATTTCCACGACTAAAGTTGAAAAATAAATCAAATACTTAAGATTTTATTATGCGTCATATTTAGTTTATTATAGTTTTGTGAACGTTGATATTATGATTTGACTAACGTACATGAAAAGCTAGTAAACATATTTTCGCTACGTTATTTTTTCGTAACAGCAAGGCAAATAATGTATGAATTGAACACATGACATTTCCTAATTCGACTTAAACTCATAAAATTTACAGCTATTCTGTGATAGATAGCGAAAGCACACAACATAAAACGTGATAAGATATTAAATAGGTTTAATTGTTATTTGTTTAAATGACTACGTTTTTGAAATTTTCACTATATTGTAAGGTTTACGACTTTGTACTAATTGACAAGAGAACTATTCGCGTGTTTGAATTACGCGCTTACGTTGCACAATATCCGTTATCTGATTTTTGTTAGATAAAAAATATAAGATTCATACATAAAACGTATTTTAATCAGCGTTAATGCCCCTAGATTAACTTTACTCAACTTGAAACCTGTTAAAGCAATGCCTAAATCCATATAAAGCGTATAACAAATATATTTTAATCTTCGGTTATACCACATATTTAGCCAGATTTTACTGGAAATACGCTAGACTGGAACACCCAGTAGCAAAAGAACAAATCCATGTTAATGATGCTGATATATTGTGGGAAAGTGCAATTATTTGGGACTTTTTATCAAGCACAACCACGACTGAAAAAGTAAGCTTCAAAATAAGTATCACAAAGTGCCATCTTTCACCAGACCCCTGCAAAAGTGGAAACAACAAGCTGTCGAGTAGAAGTGTAGATTAGGTCGCCGGGTCACCACTGTGGCCGCTAGATGCCACCGATTCTGGTACAGCAGACAGCTTGCTGTTTTCACTCTCGCAGTGGTCGACTCTGGTAGTATGGCACTTTGTATTGTCTTATTTCGAAAGACCTTACACTCTGGATAGGGGACAGTTGCGCAGCTTTCGTTAATTGTTCTATGTAAAACAAGCCTAGACTGTGCTAAGGAGTTGCCAAATAGCACGAAACAGCTGACCATTGTTACCCGTCTCTGGTTGCATGATTGAAATATATGTATATTACTAGATAGGTACAACGTTTTAATACATGTGCGATTCCAAAATGTATGTGCTTTAGCTGCCTGGCGAAACGTAAATAAATTGAGTGGCAAAGAAAAAATGGTGGAGCAGGCACTCGAGGATCGATAGCAGAAAGCAGGTTGGTTGTAGGTGTTAGAACGTATGTTATAAACAAAAACACGAACCAACTTTATGGTCTGATGGTTATAAAATTATTATTTACAGAACAATATTTGGTCAGGGGAGACAGTTAGGTTTTACAATGTTTATTAAAAAGAATAAATAGTGAGTATTTGAGGGAAACGTTGTTTCTTCAAATTCCATATTTGTTCAGATCCGTTTTTGTGAGACAACAATACATCCTCGTGCGCGCAGTGTACACATTGTTAGCGGTAATAAGAACATTTAAATAAATACTTGTGATCGTGATATATTTGATTCTGTGTTTAGACGCGCATTTATGTGAGACTTTCACAATGTGTGGTATTCTTCTCTGCGTGTTTCCAAATGTTGAAGTTTGATAAGTTTTTTCGAGACGTACCGCGTCATGGAATGCTTCGTGAAAGTTTTGCTTTGTACGATGAAAATAACGAACCTTGCATTCCACTGGAAAAGTATCTCTCCAGTAGATAGACTCAAGCAAATAATGATAATCGGGATCCTGTCAGGAGACTTTTGGGTTTACAGAATGTTGCAAGAGTCTAAAGAAAGAAATTAAGAAGTCGATTCTTGGTTGTTTCTGGTTTCATGAAAAAAATTATACCGAGTGCTGCAGAACAATATGTCAATTTCTAAGTAGCATATAGAATTCCGTATAGAAGACCGCAAGTTTATATCAAAAAGAAATCGTGCGGAACACTCGTACAAAAAACAGACCTCTGAAGAACGCCACTGGAAATTGGCTTTTCTTTAATAGCTGAATGGCGTAATAACTAAATCATACAAATAGCCAGTGGCGGACTATCCCTGGCGAAATATTGCTGATATTAATTACACTCTCTACAGGGTGACTTTGAAGTTGAGTCATTAATTTTCAGATAATGATTGTAGAAGGAAGATAAACCAAAATATGTGTGTAAAAATAAAAAAAAAAAAATTTTTACCTTGTTTTATAAAGTATCCTCCCGACAAGTATTTCAGTGCGGACCTTTATTTGATCGTGAGGTCCCCTGTGAGGTCTTAAGTCACCTGATTCACGAGCCCGTTGTACTACATTAACAAAGGCACGAGGGGTTGGTTGCACTCGATTGGGAAACCGATCCGCATAAACATGTGCCATTTTTTATTTCGTTTGAGCCACGCAACAGATACCACTATTCACTGACACTGACTGTATACAAATGAATGTGTGTGTAAAAACATCGTTCCAAATTCTTTCGCTTTTTTGTTTCCGATACGGCGGATTATATCCATTGTCGCCAAACACGACCACATAATATTATTATTGAGACAGGGCGGTACTCAAACTTCCAAAGGGCTATAACTTTGTTACTTTAATTTTACCAGAAAAATGGTAAAGGAAAAAAACATTTCTTTTGATCAGATCTACTCACTGTTAAAATAAATGACTCAACTTCGAAGTCTAACATCTTAAAAACCATATTTTTGATGGATAAATGTTTTTGAGAACAACAGTTCTTTTTCAATGCTGCTCCTACAGATCTGCACTGCAGTCAATCGTCGAAAAAAAAAATCAGCAAAAATGTAAAACTGCATATCTTGTGATTTTGTTGGACACCGATTATGAGTCTGTTATCTATATGATCTGCTATATTTTCAAGATGGCGGGACAAGTATACTTTATCCAGTACCATTTGATACACCTGTACTGAAACAAGACCGTGTGTTAAGTTGTTAGTTTAAAAATATGCCTATTTGAAACTTGAAGAGCTTTGAAACGGTCTCAGAATATGAATAAAATTCACCGTCTCGTTTTTGGAATTTTTTGCTCAAAAGTTGATAAGTTCGTGGTCTCCGTTCTGACTGATCATGTGAATCATTAAAAAGTTACTATTGGAAAAATAGGTTTTTGGAATATTTAGCAAGAGATAAATCCATAGTTTAATGTCGTGTCCATGCGCTCGGTATGGACCTGAGTACGGTCCAGTTACAATCTAATTTCGTCTCACCCTTTATATTTCAAAGAATGAACATCAAATATCCATTTAACCAAACCAAAGCGGCCACAGTAGCAACAACCTCAATAATTGCGTCTTTGAGATGTATCATGAACTACTGTATTGCCAAACAAACATTTAATCATTCTTTTACATCTTCTCAATAGGTTCTCACCACTGGTGTGCCCCAGGGATCAAACCTAGCTCCGCTACTTTTTTGTTCTTTTTGGAATATTTAGCAAGAGATCTGATAAATCCATAGTTTCATGTCGTGTCCATGCGCTCGGTATGGACCTGAGTACGGTCCAGTTACAATCTAATTTCGTCTCACGTTGTATATTGTGGAGAACATAATCCTTCAAAGAATGAACATC